AGGAAATGGACCTAAATGACCATTTAAACTCCAAAGCAGATATGAGGGGCAGGGCAAAACAACTGCTTAGATAAAAACACTTGCAATCGAATCAATACCTATAGTCATCTATTGACATGTCAGCAGAAGCTTAAGACGCACCCAAACAACAACAATCCATTCAGTAGTGGCAAAACAAAACAGAGTTCATAGTGGACTTAAGAGTGATAGCTTCTCCAGCCTTCAAAATCTGGCCCTGTCCTGATCGCATTGCCTCGATTTCCCAACAACGTAAGGTTTCGAATTTCACTCTGACTGAACGAAGGGGTTGGAGAAGGCGCGTAGGTGTTCTGGCGAGTGTGTTTGCACAGTTGCACTGCTACACTTGTGCCCTTCGACCCACTATTACCAGCAGCATTCACGCCGCTGCTCATCTGCCCTAACACTAACTCATTTATCCGCTCCCTGGAATGCTGTGACATCACTGGAGAGGGACGCGGCCAGAGCTGAACAATAAGCCGATAGAGACCACAGGGTTCAAATGGACCGGTCTCAACCCAAGGAGGACACAACATACCCCCCTGTGCCTTCAACAACACTGCTGCACATCCTGGACCCACTGCCACGGTTCAGACTGTTTAACATTCAACGCCGACATCTTGAAATGGACTTAAGCACATTACAAAAACAACTTAATATAACGCCTACGTTATGGATGTCACTCGTGGTACAGTAAGCCCACCTCATGGCAGCAATGTCAGTGTCATGAGAATACACTGTCAAGTATTGTCTTTTTGAATGAAGAAGTGTCTTTAAAATATATCCAGTATATGCATTAAAATATATACAGTATACACTATCCATCTATAAATATCCGGATTGAGGAATCAAGGAAAACATCTGGTTACACATAGTGTATTTCACTGTGAGGCAGTCAGCATCACGCAAGTTTAAGTACTTCAATTGAGCCGGTGAAAACAACCAGTTTCCCCAGGGCTTGTACGTTACGGTTAAATTCTATATAAAAGTCTGTGAGTACTGCTAACATCCAAGAGTTCAGTCAGCTGCTGAAAAGCATCGACTTTACAAAAAAAAAACAACTTATTTTTTAAGTTTATTTTGGAAAAAGAGATACTAAAATTAAATAAAAAATAAAAGTTCTCATCATGTATTTCACTTTGCTTTTAATTTACAGCAGTTGGAGACAATACAAAGCAATAACACTGCAATAAAGCCACCTATCTTTCTGGAGCTTATAATTGATTGGCAGAGTAGAGCCAAGTCAACAGCTGGTTTTTATTACAGGACTGTACGATATTGTGCAGCGCACCTTAGGACGTCTGCATGCTCATGCATGATCCAAGCAAATCAGGGACCCATGTTGTCTGTTCAAAGTGCTATTAAAAGTGAGATACATGAATTTGGACCATGAGTCCTGGCATTAAATAGTGAATGACATATTAAAAAAAACATATTACTGGCTTAAACATGATGTAAACCTTTTTTCTGAACAGAAAACAAGAGTAAAAACATGTAGCTACAACCTAAATATGAAATGTAGGCAGCATGTCACATGAAATATGAATAAATATTGTCACGTGATTAAGCCCTGATCCAACATTGGGTGTGTTTGTGTATTTTGCTAATCCTAGCTGATTAACTATAGCCTTAGTCTAAAACAAATTTTGATTTAACTATAATTTCAATGTGTAGAACAATTTTTTAACAGCACTGTGTGATTACAAGCATGACTCAGCGGTACAGAAATACTGTGCCACCTTTCCACCTGATGCTAGTTGCTATGGTACCATCAGTCTGGAGCACATTCTCAAAATACAAATAAACATAAAGGGGATGAAGGCAGTGGGGGAGAAAATCCCATACTTGTCCATTTGAAACTCAATCTGGAGCGAGTGTGCGGTTTGTTCTACAGCTTAAGCAGGCAAATCAATGTGGTTTGTCTAATTGTCTGGGATAATTTATTTTTTTTTTTAGCTAGACAAACAATATCAGAGCAAAACGCCTACCAAGACAAATGAAAGGAAAACGGCATACAAAACTGCGCCTCATTCAAGCAGCTGCATGCACGCTAATAATACAGACGCAGACCTTTTAACTGCTTAGTGTACCTCCATTTTAATGCACAACACTAATGCTTTCCATCTACAATCAGCAACAGCACACATATTCATGACCTTGTGCATTTAAATCTACGTTGGTTTTCAGTCGGTAGATGAGTCATTATTCCTTTAATCTTCGTTAGTTAAATATTTGAACAGGCTTTGTTAAAAACAATGGGTCGTCATGAATTAGGTTAGCAGTTGTCAAGAAAGAAACACCAACTTGACATGCTCCACCTTGCTTTCCTAAACTCAATAAAACCAAATTTAACAAAAGGAGGGAAACACACTAGGTGCCAACAGTAAATTCAATTGGCTGGTTTTGTTCCAATCTTTAATACTAGCGTATAATCCAGATTATGCTTGGAAACCTTGAATGTGATATGTAATTTATTATAATGTGGTCAGTTAAATCAGCCCGGCCACTCTATTAAAGTAGAAGATATTGTGTGCTCTCTGAAGTAAATTAAAAAAAAGTTCCAACTCCACTAACGTTTCTACTGAGATATTCACTTGTACTTACAGGAAAAACTAAATTAACTCAGGGGCGGATATTTACAAGCATTAGTTCAAAACAATGGCCTTATATATAAAGCCTTTGATAAACACATCGTCACATTTTAAAGGGTCGGCGATAGACTTATCAGCATATGGGAAAACAAGAAACAAAGAATTAGTGGACACCTGGTTCTTGTGGACAATAATTACAAATTTCCACATACATTTGTTCCTGTGTAATCAAACTTTACTTGCATGTCCAAGAACACTGTGTGCGAACACTGTTTCTATTCCACTATGAGCCTTGTTCAGCTTGTGAATTCACAAACCTGCTTTATATTTTACTAGATAGGAATTCTGCCACACAGCTAAATCAAACTTGGCATGAATTCTCCAACAATGCTGATGGATTATAATGCAGATTTGCACACATTAGCCTTGTTGGTATTAGCGTGTAAAATATTAACCAGTGCTCAGTGCCTGATCTTTGATTATCACAGATTGTGATTATGTCAGAGTGCGGTTTCATAACCATGTCACAACATGTATGTAAAATTAAGACCACACACACACACACACACACACACACACACACAGTAGGGACAAAAATGACATGAGGTTCTGGTAAAATCTCTTAGTCTGCAGATTCATTCATACATCACTCAAAAATGTTCAATCAACAGTAGAGAGAAGAGCATATTAAAACTAACATTAGATGGACGACAAATTAAAGTTTCGGCCACTTGATAAAATACACAGCTACTAGCTTCTAATCCAAAATCCGCAGCAGAACAAAGAGTATTAACCACCGGTATAAAACCAATGAATCACATCATCTCTGTACCACAGGTTGTGTGGTTGCAGTGTTACGAATGTTAGGTCTAGTCAGCTGGTTAGACTAATGAGGCAGTTTTAAGGTATCACTTTTCAATCAGCTGGTGTGTTTAGATACTTTTAGATAGATACAATGATTGCCTGCTCACAAAAAATGTAACCCAATCAAAAAGGGTCAATCTTTGCTGAGTCAAGCTACTGAGGCCCTTTGGGTTTTTCCCCTCCATCAAGTAAGAAATCGGTATGACCACAAGTAACATCAGACTGATACTTATTCTTGGAAGACTTGCCACCAATATGCATTGCCACTTACCACAGTATGACTCAAAATATTAAGACTTAGCAGCCAGCTCATGTGTCTCCCTTAATAGGTTATCTTCAAGTAGACACATTAGTCATCTATCAATGATAAAGCATATTACCTACAAGAGCTCAATAAAAGCTCAAGTACAAGCGTAAGATAGCTGTGATATGTTAGGAATTAACTTACTGATCGTCCACAGATTATCTTTAAAAAAAAAAAAAAAGGGTATGTCAAAACACTGGCCTGAGTCCAACAGATACAAAGACAGACAGTAAAACTACAGCTGCATTGTCTACTATCTCTTTTAGGTTCCTCACGACGTCCATGCACAAACCTAACAGCAGACAGACGCAAACAGATTTCGTAATTATCTGAAGGAAAAAAAAAAACCCATTCACTATTGATCTGCCTTATCACGAATAGTGGAGCATGATCAGTGACTAAATAAACAAGAAACCAAAACCTCGGACCAGCAGGCGAACTTAATCTCAGGCTTGTGGCGAATTATAAAATAATAATGAATGTCACAGTAACCTATTTTAAAACAAAACAGAATCCTCCCTACTAACTAACCTACTTTCGTTTAATAACACTAACTTAGACCAATTGTGCAAACTAGCTGGAACTCGTTAACTCTCGGATCAGTTAGCCGCTAATGATAACGGGGATGTTTACTTGTTTATTGTTCAGTCAACAACCATTAAGTTTACTAGTGGGAGTAGCTAAGGGCTAGCCGCCGCAACTATAGTGAACAACCAAACGCGCTCGCCGTGAAACACCCAACAGATACACAGTTAATCCAGAAGAAAAACAACTTACCTCGCTATGATACGCAGCAGGGGCAGAAACAAACACAATCAGCTAACGTGAGCTAGCAGCCCGTAACGATCACGCTAGCTAACTTAGCCCCCCCTTCGATGTAGCAAATAACAGGTGGAGACTTTTTCTTTCTTTTCTTTCTTTCTTTCTTTCTTTCTTTCTTTCTTTCCTCCCCCCCACGAAAAAAAAAATAAATAAAATATATTTCGTTTGACCTCCCCCTCGGCGGCCACGACACCGACGCTCAACCTGAACAAGGGGGGCTGTGAGCAGAACTGTCTCGCTGTTACTTTACCGACAGACAGGTCCCAACTGAACCGGTCGGCCAGTTGAACAACTCTCGCTCGCCCGACCAGTCCAACGGCAGGCGCGGCAGGCTCCACGGTGACGCGACGTAACGTAAACGTAACACCACGTAACGTAGACGTAACGTACACCACCGCGTAGAGTGACGTCACGCTTTTGACATTCGCACGGAGCGCGTGATAGAAAGGGTAACGCCATCCGGATCGATATTTTAATCTTACGGCTGTCGCTCTTTCTGATACCGCCAGTGTGTGCGTTTTGTGTTTTAACCATTAATTACGACGCTGAAAACGTAATTGTTTTTGCTCCGTTGTCAGGGGCAACCCGCCATGTGATCGTTAGCTTAGCGGCTGCTAACCGTGTGTTGTTTCTCTTTGTAGCTGGCGCAATAGTCGCTGCAGTCATGGCTTTCCCCCAGCTTTCAAGGTCTCTTACTGGGCTCCTCGTAGAGACATCGTCCGTCATTCGTCAGAGGACTTTTAGGTAAGATATGGTGCACGTTGTTGAAACCAAATCAGATCCATTTAAATATAATTTACTGACACAGAGAGAGAGAGTGACATCTCTTAGTGAGATGTTAAAGTCGCCCCTCGATCCAAAATGTTTGTTTATTGTAACTTTAAATGAATGTTTGACCTTCACTAGTTTGACACCGTTCATCTCCTGTAAGGGGGGAAAATGTCTGAAATACTTTTATCAGGACTAGTTTAGAGGCTAACCATGGTCTAATGTGCAACATAAACAGAAGTGATGTGGACATATGAAGCCTCCAGTGCTCAAACACTGAGAACACGTCTTGTGTTTTAATATTTACATTCTGGGTTATCCGGTGGGGGTGGAGTAGATGTGTTTAACTGTTTATTTATTAGGTTTTTTTTAATAATAATTTAATATTATTACACAGATGAACTAAAAAGTATTTGTTTTATATGTCTTCAAACATTTATAGAATAGTTCTTTAAGGTCAAATATATTGAAAACTGCTGAACATTACTTCACACATTGTGCTATCAGCAGGGATAATTATGAATACCTTTTTTATTAATTGATTGTTGGGTGTCACCTTTTTGTAGTGACTATATTATCGTTTTAAGGTGGTGCTTGGATTTGTATTTTGATATTGAAATAGAAACTCTGCTGGCTTAAAATCCTGTGTGACATTTCCCACCCGTATGAATATTAATACCCCTCTACGCCATAGTTTCCTTGAAGCCAAATTATTCCATTAAGAAATAGCCACAATAGTAATGGGGTGTCTCTTTCTGCACTCATGGCCTATAATGCAATTTAATTTCCTGATTTAAACTCATAACACAGTTTGTGCTTAGAAAGGCTTACCTCCCTAAATAACCCAATGGAGCGAGCTCTGAGTCACTTGTTTATTTGCTGTTTGTGGAGCAGCTTAAGCATTTGTCTCCACATGACATGATCAGCACTGACAAGTCTCTAGTGTTCAGCTTAAGGAGCACAGTCAGTCTTCATTTGTTTGTGCTTAAAAGTAAAATTCTTGATCAATATCAAGATCTATGCCATGTATAAAGGGCTTGTGCCCCAACAGAACTTCCTGTAACTTGAAGATGACCAATTTCCTTTCTGTTTCTTCAGTGTGTCCGCCGTCGCAGCAGCCATTCAAAAGATGACAAGAGTGCGTGTAGTGGACAACAGCCCGCTTGGAACTACACCATATCACCGCGCACCAAGAGTGATTCATGTCTACACCAAGAATGGGGTAGGAAAAGTTGGTGACAAGGTGTTGCTTGCCATCAAAGGACAGAAAAAGAAGGCGCTCATCGTTGGACACAAAATGCCTGGAAAGCCCATGACTGCGCGCTTCGATTCAAACAATGTTGTTCTGATTGAAGACAACGGGAACCCTACAGGAACAAGGATTAAGATCCCTTTACCCACGCAGCTACGTAAAATGGACGGAGAATATTCTAAAGTCCTAGCAATCGCCAGTACATTTGTTTAATACATCATTTAACTGTGTTTTTTTGAGATGTATATAAACTGTGTATTTCATGTACATGTTTGCCAGTAAACTTTAAACAGAGCATACGCCTTGTCACAGTTATTGTCTCTATACAGTACTCCATTGTCACTTAATGTATGTAATGGACTTGAGTTGTTGTCAACATGTTTGACATTCTTGTGAGTCCTCTCTATGCTTACAAGAAACATAACCTTTACCTTGAACACACAGTATAGGAGTTTCTGGTGCAGCCTGAACAGCCGAATGTGGGTCAAACTCATGTTATCATGAACACAATGAACAAACTGAGAAAGCATGAGGGGAAATATTTATTGAAGGCACAACATACTTTCACAACACAAAACACATGACTAACACATTTTTAATAGCCGTTTAACATCATGGTGTCATGTATAAGGCATTCATTATCATGTGATCCCTGGAAATGTCACTTGAGTGGACTGATGTACAGTATTTCTCACGAAGTTGAGGCGGCTTCACTACCAGCTTCCTAAACTAAATGTCTCAGTGCAAAGTAAAAACAAGTCAAGTAAAACAAAGGTTAGCTGGCTGACTTCAACTAAAGAAAATGATTGGTGCAATATATAAACAGGCTAAACTTCAATATTAAATGTCAATAAAAAATACTGTAGTGAACATTAGAGCAGGTCTGTGCTGCCATCTACAGGTGAATGAACTACCAACTCAACAGTGAGGTTTCCTGTTAAAAAACCTTCTAAAGTCTGGAAAAAATTTAAACATGAGTGCATAATAATTAAGAGAAACTATAAGACTTCATCTTTTAAAGCACTACAGTAACAGATTTCTTATCTATGTTTTTTGTTCCTTAGCGATTCAGCTTTTAGTGAGATTTCAAACTAAGAACAGTGAAATGATTGTTTGTAAATTAGGTGACATTCATACAGACAGCAAAACTGAAATGTAGTAATATAAAATCAACATACAATGCACTTTACAGCTAGTGATTTTTGTCATGCACAGACTCATGCTGTTTGTACAGAGGTGACACATTTAATCAGAATCAGAATTTATGTGGCACAGTGACTGCTTCATACTGTAGGTTTGCATAGTTGCAGAGCAAATTCAGCGGGGAGACACTTGGCTTGGCTGGACTTTGGTTTTTCCATTATACAGCTCATTTGCTACTCGAGGTGAGTTGAGGTGGGATGTGTTAAAAGGATCAACAGGTCAACTAAGGCTAAGGTGTCTTCAGAGCTAGAGGTTTCATGGCGGTCTGCAGGCACTGTACCCACCTCCAGTGAAGACAGTCCTCTTTAACCGCACATTGTCACGTAAAGCCACTAGCAATTAAAAAAAAGATATAAAGATTAGAGGAAGAGAAACAATTAACCAAATGTACTGAGATGTTCTATTAAAACAGAACTTACCTCTGAGATATTCATCTCAGCCTCTCCGGACCCCTCCTTGTCAAACTGCTGGAAATACCCTATTAAAAAGATAAGGTTTTCATAATTTGTCAATGCTTAATAGTCTGCAAACATACCTTTATAACAACATCTATTAGAATAATACTTACTAAACATGGCTTCAAGCTTGACCAAGCAGCAGATAAAGTTGTCAAAGTCAATCATCTCATTCTCTGCATACCGGGCTACCAGAATCTGGTTCAGATTGTTATTCAGTTTAAAGCCTACACAGGAAGACAATACAAGTAAAAGAAAAGGTCAGATTTCTCACCTGTTAGAGTGCGTACAGTAAATAATTGTTGGGAAATGATAATCAAGGGCATTATACCTGCTGCCTCCACAGCAAGACGCATCTCATACGAGCTCATGGCCCCTGACTTGTCGAGGTCAAATTGTCTAAAAATGACCTGAAAGACGGAGACAGAAATGTAAATAGAAATACAGAGACTTAAATTGTGCATAATGTTCCTTTAACATTATTATTATGTTACTCATTCTTACCAGCCATTTTCGGATTCTGTTCCATAGGAGCTGAAACTCCACCAGCCCTAAATGGGCACTACCATCTTTCTGGTAAACACAGTGTCAAGGGGTGAAACGAAACACTGGATTCCCAAACGCTCAAATTCATTCATTTCTAATAAAATAATTCTAATTTAATAGTTTGTGTGAACTCAAGAGGATACATCCATCAGGTTGACCATGGTCCTACATGATTCCACGCTGAAGCCGTCAGTCTTCAGATCTTTGTCTGAAACGGCAAAAACACTCATCTGAAAAAGTCCGACACAATTACACCGAGGCTCGCAAGAGAAGCAGTCCAGGAAACGGATGGTGTACACTCTACAGTGGAATCTAATACAGTAATGGAAGATGTATTACTAATATGTAAACTTTCCAGTAGCTATGAATCATTGACTAAAAATAAAACTCACGCCGGGTGACGACTCTGTTTAGGATGGTCCTGAGCTCGCGAATAGAAATCTCCATGTCCTGCAAAAGAACAGAAGTCTTTATTTTCTTCGACATAACAAGGGACACCATTTTGGATCTTTTAAGCTCTAGATATTGTCTAAAATACCACAGAAAATAAAAAAATAAAAAATATTATTATATAAAAATAGTGTTAGTAAAGTACAAACAAATATTAGGATCACTGAGACCGATCTTACCTCCCCTGCTAGCTGAGCGAACATGGACTTGAAAGAGTCATCGATGTCGTCTTCAGTTACTTCTTCCTGTAAGAAACCACATATAGAAAATGCATTGGTTTATTATAGTTAGTTAGTTATTTCCTGGTATTCTTATAACATACTATATGACATTTACGTACGTCCTCGCCTAAATCGGCAGAGATCTCATCATCCAGTTCTCTGTAATAGACAAAAACATATTAGCATGAGATTTAGATTTCTACACGTACACAAATGAATCAACTGACATTGCACACAGAAGACACATACTCAGTTTCTGATTGCTTCTCAGTGAAGACTCTGAGGACAAAGTCAGCCTCTTTGCTGGGCTCAAAGGTGGAGGGGACGATGATGTACTCTCCAGGGGGCAGTCGAAGCCGCGTGCTCACCTCTCGCAGGTTAATGAAGGTCTCTGAGCGAGCGCACGACGAATGTCTCAAAAAGAAATCTTTCTTCAAATGGACATTCTGGCAGCCTCTGTACTAAGGGAGGAAACAACACATGGGTTGACATGCATTTGCATGTTTTTAAGCATTTAATTTATATCATACATTCTCACCTTACTGCCAACTATTTTACAAAGCATAACAATCAATTTCTTTAACTTCTAACTGCATTTCAATGAATCTAACTTTCATATGGGATGGAAATTAACTTGCAAAGATTTAAAAACTTGCTTGAAATCAGTCATCCATAATACTGAACATCAAGTCTGCTTTCATTGTTGTCAAATTTGTGGTGGAGTGAATATCTAAATCAAGTGCAAAGGTTCTGTGAAGTGATTATTATACAATTAATGTGATGAACACAATGTACAAAAACCAATGGCTTAATAAGAAGGTAGAAAAAATGCGAGTAAATTGGCTAAATCATGACAAAGCATGGTATGATCTTAATCAAATGGTTAAATAAACTGTGGTAGTAATTGATTCTCTGCCTACCTCGTCTGGAATCTGCACAAAAGAAGGGAAGAGACAAAATTAACATTAATGAGCTGAGGCAAACCTTTCAAAAATAAAGTAATGTTTATATGTGAATAATAATCCACGAGGGACAACACTGATTTTCCATATCTGCTCTCACCTCATAGACAGCAAAGCCAATGGTGTGCATGTCCTGACCAAGGCGTCGATATCTGCGGCGGTCCTTCTGCATGAGAGCAACTAAAAAACTGCATGCCACCTCATCGTCCTCTGGGTCATCATCCTCCTCCAGCAACGTGATCTTATACTGAGGGTTGATCCAAAAGGTGTCTATACAAAGAGTTTCACAGTCACAGTAACATTACAGGACCTGTTTGCATTTCAACAGCAAATTTTTATGACTTAACTATTAGTAATATAAACAATGTCTGCAAGTACACTTTTGCATGAAAGGCATTTTTCCTGTGACCATATGATCGGTGGACTCACTGGGATTGTTCCTGCAGCCTCCAGCGGTGCTGCCTCTTCTCCACGCGCCGTAGAACTTCATGGTGTTCCAGTGGCTGAGACTTTCCTCACTCAGAGCATCTGGAGACAAGTTACAGATCTCTAGCCGAGAGAACTGCCTCTTGAATTCACTGAATGACATCCTGGAAGATTAAAATAAAGTTTTGGGGCCATAACCGGAGTGCAAGATTTTTTTAAAGAATAGTTTTTGGGGGAAATATGCATTCACGTTCTTGCAGAGACTTGGATGATAAGATTGATACGACTATCATGTCTGTGTGGTAAATATAAAGCAACATAACAGCCAGCAGCTGCTGCTTAAATTAAAATAAACACTGGAAACCACAGAGCCCCGGAGTGGTCATAGAGAGAAAAACATATATAATCACAACTCGGCGGGATCAGGTTAAATCCTTTTACCAAACAGCCACTACCACACAATTCAAAAAGAGTTTCTGTACTCCTTTATGTTGCTATAGGCCTGGCATTACACAATTAAACAACAGAAAGTATTATAATGGACTGAACAACTACACAAAAAAGTTATACTATACAATGACTAAAGAAATGCTAATATGCAAGTTGACCACATGGTGACTCTCTAGCATCAAAATAGAAATTATTCTTACACAGACTGGAAATAGTAATAATCAAATCAAATCATAACACAGTCAAACAAACTAATAGCAATGTACATTGATACTGAACAGTTCTGGCCATCACGTTGTCCATTGCTTCCTCATAATGGACACTTTGTCCAATGATAATCCCATATATATTCACTATATCAACATACTCTGTAGGCAAATTAACACATGAACATAATGAGGCTGCATAGGGAACAAATTGTATCTCATGCCCACCAGTGAAAACATAGAAACCAAAATGTATCTCCTGCGGACACAAAAGCATTAATATTGCTCCGTGTAGTAAAATGTGGTAGTAAACCTCCATGTAGTAAAACAAAGAAAAAGAAAAAAGTTAGTTGGAGACAGAGCCAACCTAACTGTT